CATTCAGGCACCGTGGGGAAAAGACTCATGGCTTTTGACCTGAATTTGCATCGACAGTCTGGAAGCTGCAAGCCTGTGGCCCTGTCATTCTTGCAGCTTTCCCAGTATTTGTTAGCAAGAAGCCACTCCCTCCTGGACTGCCCAAGGGAATGCCCGTCCCAGAGGCTCCTAACTAAAGGCTGCCTGAGAATTGGCAAGGCAATGTGGCTGCATAGCTGAAGGGGGCAGAACTAGCTACATCACTTCTTGGCATTCCTGACTGGCCACACAGGGATGCCACATGGTAAGGAGGGATCCCACCCTTGTGCTGGGAGGGCAGTGGTGTCCTCCAATATAGCCGTCTGTCTCTGTTGCGCCCAGGCTGCTGAGCTGAGTCCCAGCTCGCCTCTGCTGGCTTTCCTGGAAGTTCTTTTCCACATTGTAGCATCTTTTCTGTCCACATGTGGAGGCACTGTTTCTTCTGGGATCTCATGCAGCTGCAGGCGAGTGGTGAGACAAAGGGCTCCAGAGCCAGAGACTTGTGGGTGCTGACAGAAACCAACCAGGAAAACAGAGAATTCAAGAGGGCCTGCACGTTTTGAGCAAGAGGCTTTGTAACTGAGGCCAGAAAGGGAGAAAACCGGTGATCTTGGCTGGGTCTAACTCGAATCCAGACCCTTCTCGAGGTTTTGGTGTCTCTGCAAGGAAATTATTATTTTCCATAAACTGTCTTAAGTGTCTCCCGGCTGCATTTCTGGCTGTGTTAAGGATCAAGCCATCAAGAACAGCTGTGAGCAGCAGCAATGGGCTTTGGCAGCGAAGTAGGAGCAAAAAACCCAAGTAGGACATTTCAGTTGACAGTAATGGCATTTTCCCTTCCTTGTCCAAACGATAAAAGATTCATGCTCCTAACTGCGACACTATAGCTGCCCCCATCACTTTATTCTGGGAGAGGAGGTTAGAGAAAACAGGCCTAGAGAGAGGGAGAGAAAGAGAGAGACGGATAGTAATTTCGTCACTAGCTAACAGAGACCGATTAGTGTAGAAGACCCCATCCATAGCAATACTTTTTAATCAGGACTGCTGTGTCTGGGCAAACAGCTTTTGTGGATTAGCTAGACTGGAGCCTGCCAGCATCCGTTGCAAGTTTAAAGGATGAAATACACAACTACAGAGAAAACAAACCGAAAAGAGTAATAAAGTCACACATTTCAATATTCAGCAACCATTAAGGGATTTAAATATTTGCTTGCTATTAAAGGCTTGCATTAGGCTCTTCCAACACCAGCTCTGGAAGACTGAAATATCAATTACGGATCAATTTTCCCCCTAAGTAAACACTAATGCAGGATAAACAGTATTAGAAGATGCAATCGTAACATTGCTGACTTCAGGATGGACTTCCTGCTGGTAACAGCAAGTTTAAGCCTGGTGATTAATTAACCTGAGAAGATAGCACTTAAGGAAGATTTAAAGCAAGCATGTCTGAAATATGAGCGTGAGCCAGCGTATGTATGCAGGACAGCCGGAGAGGTCTTGGACCAGGGCATGGGTTGCTTTGCTCCTCAGTAGTGGTCCTGACTCCCCAGCCCAATGTTTTAAAGGATTAGGAGGGAGCAAAGCGAGGAGTGCAGGTAGATGTGATGTTTGCCAAAGAAAAGGCAGTTGTCTTGAAATTAATTCTACCTTTAAATAAGCAAGAGTTGTAGTTCCTATACTGGCCACCAGGGGAGATACACATGATAGTATCTTGGGAAAAAAAAAAAAAAAAAACAACAACAACAACAAAAAAAGCAAAACCCAAAAGGCAAACCAAACCAAACCAAACAACAAACAAACAAACCAAAACCCACCATTAGCCAGATGGATCTCTGTGAGTTTGTTGCCAGCCTGGTTTACAAAGCAATCCAGGACAACCAGAGCAGTTACACAGAGAAACCTTCTCTTGAAAAAAACAAAAACAAACAAACAAAACAAAAAGAAAACAAAACCTAAAGCCAAACCAAAAAACAAATAAACAAAAACCCCAAAACACCAAACAACAGCAAACCCCATCACCAAAGCCTGTAGTTCTGTACTGTACCAAACAGCCTGGATGCTGAGGATAGTAAGTTGTTATTTCGGGTCTGGCTTTGGGGGTGCTCTCATTGTCTTGCTGTCCACCCCCCCTCTTCCTACCAGATAAAGTGGTGAGAGTACTGCCCTCTTCCACAGCTCCTGTTGGAGGCATGCACAAGTAAAGTAAGAAGCAGATTTTGAATTTTTCTAACCAGTGGTACCTCATTCTGAAGGACCCTTATGATATATGACAACAATGTTACCTTACAGCATTTCTCAGCCATTACCCAAAAGTCATCATCATTGCCCAAGGAGGAAGAAGTACCAGTGCTGGCAGGCCTCAGAGACAGATGGGACCAAGGGTGCTAAACTTGGGGTGTCTTCAAAGCCTTACAGGAACTACCTAGTTGGGGATGGACTTGCAAAGTCAAAGCTTGAAATAGAGACTAATAGTACAAGGTCAACTCAGGCACTAAAGCTTGCTGAATGTTCACTGTGTGGCTGCTAAGACCATGACAGAGGGGCTATGAGCCTGTCTGGGTGACAGCAATGAGCCTCTTCTCCCAATTGCTGTACAGTAGAGTCAGGCCATTTACGCTTCAACTTAGTTTTTTCTGTGCAAATGTGGAACTCACTGAAGGAATCTGACTGCTATTCCTTTATGATTAAATATTTGTGGCATCTTGGCTAAAAGATGTATTAGGAATTTGAGGCCATGTTTTGTAATGTAACAGAAACGCCTTATGGAAGGAAGGTTTTTCTACTTGTCATGTGGTGACCGCATGATTGCTTTAAGGCTCTGGATGACAGAATCAAAGGAACAGCTCTCCATAGAGCAAGTCCACAGTATAAGAGTTACATTTCAACTAGACAGGGGACAGTGAAAGATTGCCCTAATTAACACCTGGGAATTACCTCGAGGTTCCAGTTGATGTATTTGGAGAATGCAGCAACCAGGCCAGGCCAAGCATTTTCGAGAACCCTCTGGAGGGAGCAAGGAGAGTTCTTGTGCTATACCAAGAGGCACACCGGAAACTTAACAGGCAAATACTAACCCAGCTGCTTCTAGCATCTTCACATTTGCAAATCTTACTGTGCTTCAACAGCCAAGTGGCCTATCACCTTGTGTCTGCCTCAGTTCACTGACCACCAGGGGTCCCTGCTCTGTGTGTTAAGGCTGAATCTGGAGCCTCATGCTATAGGCACATACAGCATGTCATGTGGCTCAGAATAGTGACAAATAAGTACATCGATGAATCATGATGAGAAAATCCTTCAGTATTCTATGGAAAAATTCTCAAGGGCATGAGTTCACACAGACAGTTCTGTCTAAGGAGTAACCAGTTCTTATAGCCACAGGCACCCTTGTCTTCTAAATCAACATTTCAGCCTAATGAACACCTAATGAGTGCTTACTTCCTGAGTGCAACCTTATTGCCTAAGCACCAATTTCTTATCTTTTTGGTGGTACTGGAGATTGAACTGAAGGCCCACTGCATAGTAAGCACAGGTTTTTACCAATGAGTTATACCCCCAGCCCATGGTGTGCATTTCCCCCTCCTCTCCGAATGGCCTTAGAGGTTATAACAAACTCTACCTTACCCAGCAAAAGACAAAGATAAGGTGCACTAGGCAACATTCTGAGGCTTCACAGCTAGCAAAGATGAGGCAGTTTCTTAAACCAAGACTGGTCCACGCTAGCCCTTGATCTTGAGTGCTATCCTGAATTGTCCTGTGGGTCCTATAGAAACCTTTGTCTTTTGGCAGAAGTTGGGAGAGGCCAGTGAACACTCAAAGCTTCTGCCTAGACTATGAGGACAGCTACATGATGGACCCGACCCACAGAGCACCTTACTCTTCACATGTTGGTCTGATGGCGAGGTTCATTGCCCCCTGCATCTGACTCCGTTTTCTTCTCTAATGTCCTTGGAAATCCAGCAAAGTTCCAAGCTCTTCCGTTGAACTGACTTGCCAGCTTCTGCTCACTTGCCTCCCCCAAGAAATCCCCACTGCTTTTGCCATTATTACATCGGGTGTGACACTCTCAGATGAGGTCATTTCTTCACTGGTGTTAACTGGCACCTTAGCCTCTAGTAATCATTTACACTTGTCTGTGTCTCCCACAATGTCCATGTGTCACCCAATGACAGCATAGCTGCTTCTGTTGGTATTGCTCTACTTAGAGACAGACTAGAGACCAGACCACGATGTAAACAAAGTGACATGCCCAGTCTTGGTCTTTTCTGGAGCTTACCTTGTCTCTCCCTGCCAAACCTTCCCTGTTACCTGCCTGAGACAGAGGGAGAACCCAAGGAGAGCTGGGGTGAAGGTGAAAAAGGGCACTTTGGGGTGGTCATACTCCTGCTTATGGATTACAAGTACGATCCTTGCTAACTTCGCCTGCAAGGTAAGGACATTGACACGGTGCTGTTGAATCTCAGTTCACCTGGGCCTGGAAGTTTCCAAAACCTAAATGGTGAGTGAGGACAATCCACAGGCAGCCAAGCTGTTAGTCCTCAGCAGCTCACCGCTTCATTTTTGTTAAAGGAGAGAGAATTTTAAAAGGAAGAAGGCAGTATGAATCGTTAAGACACACATCCCAAAGAAAGAAGACGGTGGAGCAGGCGACACAGGAAAGTTGGCGGGTGGTGGGTGAAAGTTGGGGAGGGTGGTGGTGGACACATCCACAGATGGGGTGCCATCCCCAGCAGCTGCACGCACACCTGCACAAATCATTGCGCCCACTGGAAGTGACTCCTTTCAGCCAAGCACCGGACTCCCCTGTCTACTGTGAGGGGAGAAGAGGACAGGACACAGATGAGCAGACAAGAGAGACAGCTGGCAGCCACTTCCCAGCAACCTACTGCCAGTGTTCTGGGCCCCATACAAGGTCCTAGGAAAGGAAGCTGGGACCAGAGGCCGAGTATCGTAAGAATCCAGAAAGAGATTTAAAGGATCACTTGTAACATTAATTTTTTTTATTAAGAAGACAGATATTTTATAGTACTTCTTTTTTTTTCTTTTTTCTTTTTGTAAAAATGGTATACATGAACCGATACAAAATGCGAATGGGAACACACGGATGTGGAGTTTCTTACACTGTAACATGGTCCTTGTACACCTTAGAAACAGAACTGGCCTAGAGGGAAAAACAAGACGTTGTTGTGACTAAAGAACAAGCTTATTTGGCATCAATTATACATCCTTCATTATTTTATATTCCTTTAAAAAAACACAAAAAAAACAAGTTTGTTCTTTCTTCACTCTAAAAGTGATCAACCTGTACAAAGTAATACTCAACAATACATTTCAAACAGTGCACTGTATACTTAAGAAAAATACATAAACCAATATACAACTAAAATCCGTAATTTCCTGTTTTTGCTTTGTCTTATTATCATTATAATTATTATTTTTTTCCAATGTGTGGGGCCTACACTTTGCAATCTACCTGAGACGGAAAAACACCAATCAAAACACAGGAACCTGAGACATGTCAACATTGTAAGCCATAAAGTTACATCAGAACACTGCACTACTGTACACTTGTCAAAACAGAAAGATGGGCGGTCCCGAAAATGAGATGCCAATTCTGTGAACAATGGTAGTTTTTTTTTTGTTTGTTTGTTTTTTGTTTTTTTGTATTTTTTGTATTTTTTTTTCTAAAAAGAACAGCTGAAAAATCCTTTCAACGACATGCTAACTGGTTCTCACCCTTTGATATGGTCACACTATGTTCAGGATGGGTGCTAAGGGCTCGGAATAGATGCACATTATAAAATTCTTGAAAAAGGGATGTTCCTTGTGGCTTTTTGTCTTGGTTAAGTGCCTAGGGACAGGAGAGGGGTCAACAAAACACTGCTCGATAATGAATTTTCCTTTACATACCAGTCCGTTCCCAAAAGGCCCCCATATTGCAATGGTTCTATCAGAAGTGAAAATAAAGACAAGAAAAAGAAATACGCTTTCAAATAACAGAGTCGACACTTTTTCCCCTTAAATAAATCAGCGTAAGTTTTCCACATAATGTAACAATAGTAAAAATGCACCTTGCAAAATCCAAAAGTACTGACTGAAAATGTTATATAATATATATTTATATATTTATATATATAGATAGATCTATATTTTCTGATGCCACCTTTCCATAGGGACTGTTTTTTGGAGTCTGGAGCCTACCAACACATAGGGTAAGAGCTTAGGTTTTAGTCCTTCTGGATTTCCTCAACACTTTAGTGACAAACCCCCACTTAGCTTTAAAGAATGCAAATGGTAACTTGACTCCTCTATCTTCCCCCAGGCTCCAGTCTAAGATATGTTCAAGGTAACTTATTTTAGTAGCTATGCGCTATGGCTGCCATCATGCGAGATGAGGAATTTTTGGCAGATGGTTCTTAAGGCTGAGGAAAGAGGCCAAGGCTAGTGTATGAAAGGTAGAAAGATAAAAACACATCTGAGTTTTGATTAAGTAACTGAAAATCTCTCCATGCTGTGTTTGCACCTCGGCTCTGACCTTTCGAGAACAATACAGGCCTTTCTTTTGTACCTCCTGCCTTTGTCAAGCCAAATCTGAAGGAATGAGAGCTGCTTAGGATTGGAGTTGGAAATCCCAGCAGGACAGGAGTCCCAGCAGGACAGTGTCTGTAATATACAGTACATGCAGGCCACATCCTACTGCCCTCCTAAGTAAGCACAAAACAAAAACAAAAACAAAAACAAAAACAAACCCCCAAACAAAAACCTGTCCCCTTCATTCACACAACGCACGGACTTGCTCTCTCTCCTGCACACTAGTGAGCAGTAAGGCCAATTGGGAAAGGTGGATGGAGTTGTTTGGAGTAGAAACAACCAGAGCAGGACTGCTTAGCCCCTCCCTGCTTCCTCTCCTGTGGCAACTCAAATTCGTCCACTGACATAAAATGGACAGACCTCACCTGTTGGGTCTGTTTAGGGCAACGAGGAAGGAGGAGACTTTCCACCCCAAACCTTTCTGCACAGCGTGGGGTAATCTATACTGAGCCGCCTACAGATACAGAATTAAAGACAGATTCAATCTCATTGCGACACACCTCACTTGCAGATAACCCTGTACAGTAATGAAGATCCACAGCAAACAACAGTTTCAGAGTCACAGTCTACTTTTCTAGTCTTCGCTGCTCTAAGTATTGAAACATGGGCAGCAGCAAAGAGTTTTCATTGTTTTTTCTTTTTTTTTTTTTTCACCCAAATCTTTACGACAACAGAGAAGAATGCATCATGGAGACACTAAATTCTGAACTATGAAATCTAAACTGTGCTGGTTTTCCTTTTATGCAACTGAATTTGGAACAGAAAGTAGTCACCGTCAACACAAAAAAACAAAAGAAAGCAGGAAAAAACGGCAACAATGGGGAAAAGTCTTAGGAATCCCAGCAGATCAATTCCAAAAAAACTTAGGAGGTTTGGGAAGGGGAAAAAATGATTTTGGGAAAAATAAATGCATAAAAAGGAAAAGGGGAAAGAAACACAACAAACAAATGAAAAACAAGGCACAGAATTTTCTGCAATCTACCGAAACCCAAGTTTGACTTGGTAGAAATAAAAATTAAAAAAAAAAAACAAAAACCAAAAACCAAAACCCAAATCAAATTAAAACCAGATAAAAAGAGGTGTCAAACAGCAGAGCGTACTTTTCAAAGAACATTTTTTTCTTTTTGTTTTTACATAGCAAATCCCAAGCCTTCCCAGCCTCTCATCTTCCCACCCACTCATAAAAAACACACGAGCGTCTCGCAAGTTCCAGTATCACTGTCTCTTTTATCATCTAAACAGGGCCAGTTGGACACCTCATTGGAACAAAAAGGCTGATCTAGATGAAGTACTCTTTCTTTTCTTCGGAGTTGTTCTGTCCTCCTTCTGCATTGATTATAGCTGTGTCTGCGTCTGCTGCGTCATCGGCTCCTTTGGCTTCATGAGTGAAGTATGTACCTGAAAGATGAAGGGGTAAAGCACTGTGACTCTCTGATGGCCTCTGTGTGAAGTGGTACAGAGATGGCAAGTTGCTTATGGCCATCATCAGCCGAAGTGGTGTGCAGGCAGCAGAGGGGAAAAAAAAAACAATTGGAAGAAGAGAGCAAGGTGGGTGAGACAGATGGGGATCCCGGGCTCCAAAGGTACCACTCCAACTGAGCTGCTGCGATGTAATTCAGCAAACAAGACATTAGAGCAGTGATTATGACCAGAGAAGAAGACGTGAGTGGGGCTAAAATGCAGAAAGCTGGAGAGCTGCTGACTAATGCATAAACAGTAAACACCAAAGACCAATGACCAGAGATGTTCACACATGGTTAAAGACCAAAGCAAGGAAGAACAATTAGCCAATAAATGAATTAGGGCCCCAATGACGCTTCTATTGTCATCTTGAACCAGTTACTCCAACCATACACTCCTGGCTTCATGAATTGCTATTGGCTACCCACATGTGAGACTGTGCTTTTATAAGGACTGGTTTCCCTATGCTTTCCTTTTCAGAGTAGGGCATCAGATATAGACATAATCTGACATTGTCAAGACTGCAATCAAGGCTTGGGCTCTGTCTTCATGAACAAGGAATTCTTTCTCACCATGTTACTGGAGCCTGGACCCAGATTCATGGATTTGCTAATTGGCACAGCCACTTTATAATGACAACAGACAGAACATTAACCAAGTTGGTGACATTTCTATCACCAAATCCCTAGGGTTTACGTGAGGAAGACAAGACTTCACCTCGGAATAGCAGACAGGTAGAACTCATACTGTATAATCTGATAACCCTCTTCCCATTATGTTCTGACTCTAGATTCTTATATTTCAAAAAAAGTCTGAGACATTTTGTTGAATTTTCAGATTTTAAAGGCATAAACTGAGCAAGCAGGTGGTCAAACGCTTCCTTCCGGAGTCCTCTCTCTTGCAGAGACATGTTACCGTCTTCTGATCCTCCATGGATGCTATGCACACTCTGCTTGGCATCCTGGCTGTACCTTCCCAGTTCTACCAAGTTAAGCACTGAAAAGTGGAGGTTCTGGGCCACACAGCTCCAAGAGTCCCCAACTGTTCTGTGCTCCAGGCAGACACTTCTGGATCCTAAAATCTGTTGTTAAGCACCCTGGACCTCCACTGCTGGGGTCCAGGGACCTTCCCCAAACCCAAGTCACAATGAAGCTGTATGCAAGCGTTTACAAAACCCCCAAAGCTCATTGCACAGTGCTTGAGAAAAACAACTGAGAAAGACAAGGGCCGACAAAGAAAAGGAAGACTAAATTACCAGGAGGGGAGAAGAGGCTCAGAGCAGCATGAGGCAGAGAGGAAGAGCATTGGCAAAGATGATTGCCCATCCAGTCTGCACAGTTGGTAAGTGTGATGATTAATGGCAATTTAAATCAATTGCCCTGATAATTTAAAAAATACATATTTATGTGGCTTTTAAGGCAAAGGATTTTTCTCCTTTCTTTCTTTCTTTCTTTCTTTCTTTCTTTCTTTCTTTCTTTCTTTCTTTTTCTTTCTTTTCCTTCCTTCCTTCCTTCCTTCCTTCCTTCCTTCCTTCCTTCCTTCCTTCCTTCCTTCCTTCCTTTTTTTTTCTTTTTAAAACCTGGGCACATCACATCAAGGAGGAAATATTCTGGCCCTGGGGACCAGCTTACTCAGAGTTCAGGGTCAGAGAACTGGTCCACCTGTCTCTGGGGCTGTGGATGTTTGCCACACGTACAGTCTTCCAGGGCTCAGGCCACTCATCACACTAGTCCCTATCTTATTATTTTGACTCTATCCACAAATGTAGACTGGGGCACAACAGACCTATTCAGCTTTGTATTTATAGGGAATTCAAATCGCCATGCAGTCTTCAGCAGCAGTTAAGGTTTCTTCACCTACTCAACCCCACTTCTCCTTGTTTAGGAACCATATACGCTGTGTCATCCTTTATACCAAGCTGCCCACTAATGACAAGAGTGAGGTCCCCCAGTTTCAGGGCTGTGGTGACATGTTGCTCCAGCCTGCCAAAGCACCTTGCTTACCTTTATGTCTGGCAAAATAGCGGCCCAGAATGATGAGCAAGCAAAGCATGGCAAACACGACCACAGCTACGACGCCGCCAATCACTGCATGGTCCACTGCCCCAATGGTGCCCTCTTCACCTGCTCGGGAATCTGTTGAAATCAGAAGAGGAATAGGGATGTAGAACTTATTACAAGACACCAGGAGCCCCAGGGACACTGCCTCCAGGGTCAGAAGGTCACCTTCTTTTTTAATGGAGGAGTCAGCAAGAACAAACCAGATGGATCAAGTTACACAGAGGGAACAGACTGGCCTGTCCAGTGCTGAATTGATCTGTTCTCCCCACAAGGCAATTTCATTAGAGGCAGCATAGGAGTGCTACTTCGTGTGAAAGAAACTTAGGGAGCTGTGTGTGTGTGTGTGTGTGTGTGTGTGCTCGCATGCGCGAGGGGAGAGGGAATCCTGCCTGTTCTCACTGATAATTAGCACTCACTATATACATACTGGAACTTACACCTACTAATAATTAAGGAGGCTAACCTAAGTATTTATGGGCACCACGATGGTATCTTCAGGCTATCAGAGGAACAGGGGTGGGGGGTGGGGGAGTGTGGAGAGGTCCCACATCACACTCTCTTAGAGGAACATGCATAGGGAAAGCAATGCTGTGTAGAGATAAAACCAGGCTTATGAGACTAAAGACATATGACATGCTTGCCACATTTACAAGGTGTGAGGAGGGGAAAAGCCTCAATTTAAATCCTAATTCAAAGGTGGGGGTCGGGGGGGGGGCTGTGGGAGAGAGAGGAAGAGAGAAAATGTTAAGACAGGAAGGAATACTTGTCCATGGCCACAGACGGTTTTGATGTCAATTATTTAACATCTCGAAATGCAATTAGTTTTTCTTAGGAGCCTCACTCCCTCAGGATGTTTCTTTTTGAGTTGGGGAACAACTTCAGCATGAACCCAGAATGAGCTATGGCAATGCAGAATGGATGTATGGCAGGGTAAACAATTTTAATTTAGGAATGTGGCTACATCACCCCTCGCTGAAATCCTAATGGCACCCGAGATTTATAACATAGTAAAAAACAATTATTCTCCCGTTGATTAATACATTAACATTTTGGAGTGGAAGCTAAACCATTGTCCTTTTTTTTTTTTTTTTATTGAGTCAAGTACGACACCTCCATTAAAATGATTTACTGGCTGTACCTTACAATTTAAGCACAGCAGCAACAGAAACGGTAAAAATCTTTTAACTTTACATGATTTGTGAAGTCATATGTGAAGGATTTACCATTTAAATCTTTCAGTACATGAAGCACATGGCCTATAAATCTGCCCCCCTTGTAGTTGCTGGATGCCTAAGAGAAATGCGTTTCACCGGGAAGACCGAGAGTGCAAATTCAAGTCAATTTCTAAGAAAGATTTATCTCTGTCTCTCTCCAAAGAACAGAGCAAATCTCTGAAGCCTCCACCTCTAATAATATTTGAAGTTTATCGATCAAGTGTACAGATCCGTGACAGCTAAAGGTAATGGTACTCTTCTGAGCCGAAACCTGATACACCGCTTTCAGCGGGAGGGCAGGGCTTACACTTTCTATCGATATTTCCAATTCTGCTTGGAGACTAGGCACTGAAGGATGTGGGGAAATAACTCGTGACTGAGGCTCCCATCGAAAGCGCTTTAATTAAAAGAGCTTCAATTAGAATGTGGAGTATTTAAAGTGTTCCATGGAGTTAGCTTTGGAAGGACTACAGAATAACTCAAACCCCAAACCCCAACAGAAATGCCAAGTCATAGGCAGCGGCAGGTCGCCTGGACAACAGGATGATGGGAGTTTAATTGGAGGATAGAGATGGGTTGGAGGCAGAGTGCTGCAGCCAATTAGTCTACTCCGTGATGTGCAAGCCCCTCCAGCAACGTGTCTAATAAGCTTCACTTGAAATGTAATGGAGAGGAATCCCCTGCCTCAGACCAAGTGCTGCTGACTGCAGACAATGCAGCCTCCATTGTCCTGGAAGTCCTTTCCACAAGGCAGACAGTGGTTATGGAAACTTTGTTGACTTTTAGGAAACAGCTTGGTGACAGGAAATACTGTGTGTGGGGTGTGCATTAGTTATTGTTCTTCAGTGATAAAATATCTGCCACAAATAACTGAAGGAAGGGTTTATCCGGTTCCCATTCTGAGGGTACAGTCCATCAAGGCAGGGAAGGAATGCTGGCAGGATTGAGTGGGGCAGCTGGTTGCATGGTATCCTCCATCAGGAAGCAGAAAGAGAGGAACGCTGGTACTGTTGGCTATTTTTTTTTTTTTTTTAATTTGGTCTGGGATCTGACCCCTGGAATGGTGCCACCCACATTTAGGATTGGGCTTCTCTCTTCAATTAAACCTTTCTGGAGACACTGTCAGACACATCCATGAGTGTGTTTTCATGGCCATCCTAAAACCAGTCAAGCTGAAGCTGAAGAGTAACCATCACAGAGTGGTACTGGATTCTGGTACATGCTGGAGAACCACATTTTATATTGTGAAGACACACCCCACTGCAAGCACTCATATGTTCTCACAGGGACTGAGTCATACTAAAACTCACCACTTGTGTCTGCATGATATCAACTAATCTTTAGTTGCCATGGGTTTCAATCTGATTGAATGCTTGATTTTTCATTTCAACAAACTCTTGTGTGTCTTAGATTTGGGACAAAGTGATAAACAGAGAAAAGAGTTACATGAGGTGGGGAGGTGCCACTTTGGGAGGTCTGAGAGTAGATGGAAGTATCTAGAAGCTGTTTAAGATAGGGTTGCTGTCCATCTGGAGGGAGGCAACTCTTGTCCATTGTTAAAAGACTACTTTCTGCAACTTCAGGAACAACAACAACAACAAAAAGACCAAGATAGGTACTGGTATGTTTGTGCTTAGGGTACGAGAGAGAAAAGAAAGAAAGAAGCAAGGAAAAACGTCTCAAAACAAGGTTAAACCAAAACCAAAAAACCCTGTCATCTTTGGGATTCCTTACTTAAGCCCAACTATTCAGTTGACCTTTGCTCTCCAAATGTGCTCAGTCTAACTATTTACCCCTGTACTTAGCTCACACTAAATACCTATGTTTTAGTTCTTTCCCACCCTCAAGGACACATACATGTTGCAGATACTTATTTACAAGAATAATCTCTCTAGCTACCTTCTGATACTCACTTTGATCAGAAACTTTACTACTGCTAGTTAATCATCAAGACACTTTTTCTGCTTTCAATTAAAGCAGATGGACACAGAAGGTAACTGATGTTTAATTTACAGGGAACACTGCTGGTTATGAGCTCCTGGCAGCCTCTTCCCACCTCTCCTCCACCCTACTCCCTCCCCTGGTTGACCATGGGAGGCGGTAATAGAGCTGTGACTGTTCTTAAGTGCCTGTCATGGTCTGGCCTCCCATGTGGAGAGCAGTTGTTTCTCATTCATCTCTTCTGTTTCCTCTTGTGGGATGGGAGGCAGTTCCAACGGCGCTGTGGATTGGCTCAGAGTGGCAGGGGTGATGCTGGTTGTCTGCTGCTGGGTTTGAACCACCTACATCTGCAGCTGATGCCTCGATGGCCACAAAAAGCAGCAACAAGCATTGCCACAGGGATGCACTTGGCTGTCAGAGCTGGATAAAACACGAGTCTGAGGACAATATGTATGACCCACTGCAGGATCTGTGGCAATGTCCGCCAGCCTCCATCTCTCCTATCTTGATTGCGAGGTGAGAATTCAGAGTAGTTCTTGAAGAATCACTAAGTGGAAAGGCCACAGCTGTCACCATCATCTGAAGATCCTACTCCCTTGAGGGAGGAGATGTGTCCATGAGGGTCTCATCCCATTTGCTGCTTGTTTTCCTGGGAACATCTGTCCCTTTAGTACAGAGACAACGAAACTGAAACTCTCCAGCTGCTGCAGCTTCTCAGGTAAAAAGTGAAGGTGGAGTGCAGAGGTCTTCTGAAGGAGCCCAGTCTTCGGGTAAAGGGAGACTCTTATACAGTCATAGGTGTTAGTATTTCTACTTTGGGATAAAGCCATGCCCTTGCTGTATTGGGGAGGAATGCCAAGCATATACAAGAACAGTCATTCTAGTTTCCGCTACTCTGTGTGTAGTTAACCTCATCTAAGTAACTTCATGCACATATTCAGGTGAATGAGTGAGCTGGCTAAGTCTAACTTAGGCAGCACTGAATGCTAGGTGTGACAATGCTATTTTCACACAATCCCTGGTCTGCCTGTTTTACCCCAGTCTGCATCACTTTAGAGCTCCAAATGTGGCAGCTATGTCATGACCTGGTTAGAGTTGGGAGTTAGCTTTTCTTTTGACATAAACTGAAACAACTTAGCTCCATGTGAGATTTATAAGTCCCTTGCAGAATGTCAAGTTGGCAAAAACAAAAACAATTAAACAACAACAACAATAATAAAAAACACTGTGCCATAGTTTCAACTACCCTGGCTGTGATTTTAGCATCTTAGAAATCTCAGAATAACAACAATAAAAGAATTAAAAACAACAAGAACAACAACAAAAATACTTTCATCAAGTCCCAGGGATATCCCAAACTGTTCAGCTTTCTTCAGCTCAGCAGTTGACCTGAACCCCCTATTCCTCAAGGACAATGTGAATCGGGGACTTCTGAAGGCTGGAGTGGACTTTCAGTCCCTCCCTACCCCTCTAGTGGACATCTCTCTTTTTCCTACTCGAATTCACTTCTTAAACACTTACTGTAGTGGAGCACTTCCTCCAAGAAGCACCCCCTCAGCCCTGCTGCCTGTGTGGATCGGGCATCTGGAAGGGGCCCTGGTTTCTATGGCTACTTTACCACCTGGCAGGAGATGTGCCACACGAACTGCCAGGAGAATGCCATGATCGTGGGTCTGTCATAAGCCTTGCAGGCTGTACTGCCAAAGCAGGGATCCACGGGTAACGGGGAAATGGCTAGGATGTCCTTGACAGGCTCCTGGCCAGGAAGGAGTTTGGCAGAGGGACTCACTGAGCACAACCCTCACTGCAACTGCAGGCTGCCTGTTCGGAAGCGCAGGTAGCAGAATCTCAAGTCAGTCTTTTTGTCAAAAGGATACAGAGCTCTCTGCTTTGGAGAAGGTGAATTGTGAAATGTGCAGC